GGTTTCACCATGTTGACCAGGATGGTCTTGATCTCTTGACCTCGTGATCCACCCGCCTCGGCCTCCCAAAGTGCTGGGATTACAGGTTTGAGCCACCACGCCCGGCCTAAGAGAACATTTTGAGAAGTGGGGCACACTCAAAGATTGTGTGGTAATGAGAGATCCCGTCCCCCCAAACAAAATGTTCCAAGGGCTTTGGTTTTGTGACTTATTCTTGTGTTGAAGAGGTGGATGCAGCAGTGTGTGGTCGGCCACACAAGGTTGGTGGGCGTGTGGTGGAACCAAAGAGAGCTGTTTCTAGAGATGATTCTGTAAAGCCTGATGCCCATCTAACGGTGAAGAAAATTTTTATTGGTGGTATTGAAGATACAGAGGAGTATAATTTGAGAGACTACTTTGAAAAGTATGGCAAGATTGAAACCATAGAAGTTATGGAAGATAGGCAGAGTGGAAAAAAGAGGATTTCCCCTTGTGAATTTTGATGATCATGATGCAGTTGATAAAATTCTTCAGAAATACCACACCATGAATGGGCATAATTGTGAAGTGGAAAGTCCTTTTTTTTTTTTCCTCCAAGATTCGCTCCTAGGATCATATTTTATTTTACTACAATGAGTAACTGCTATCAGTAAGAAAAATTCTATATTGGTTTCTTTCATACTCTTTGGTGATGGGCCAAAGACCCTACAAAAGTATTTTGGAGTACATGCCCTTTTTCATACAAAGTGCCACCACAGGAATACCAGGATAGCTGCAATTCATTTGAGGCCTCACCCGTAGAAAGAAAGACTATAACAGAGACAGCCAGGACACCTACTAGTTTGTGGAGATCCCTGAGAATGTATGATTTTTAAAAGTCTGGACGGTATTTGTTTCACCAGCCTTTTTCACTGTATTAGTATCTGATGCTGATTTTTAAGTGGCATTCTTTTCCTTCGGACTTTTTATGTATACCTGTTGACTGTTGTGTACATTTTAGCAAATCTAAAAGAGTTAGTGTGCTAAATCAGCAGATACCTAAATTTCTCAGCTTATGTGTCTAATTAAAATGAGGCTAAGATGGTACAGCAGTGTTTTATTGCTTTGTCCAGCTACAACTTGTCATTTCTTTCTCCATGTCTATCTTCCTGTTTCACTTTAGTTTCTTAGTTTTTTTATTGAGATTTATTAAAAACTGGCTTACATTAATAGCAAATTACTTGAAGAATTTGCCTGCTTTATACAAAGTTAACACTTTTAAGATTTTTTTTTTAGAGATGAGAAGACATTTAAATTGAAGAAAAATTCTCCCAACAATAGATATTTTATCAGTCCAAGTATTTACTTCCTCAGTTTTGATCAGTATTTTTTGTGTATGTTAATTGTCATAAAAACAGTGATTTTGGTGTGTTTTGTATTTTGCCACTTTAATGGCTTAAGACGTTGTACATTTTATTTTGTTTTGGTTTTTTTTTAACCATGCAGTTAAATTTTTCCAAAATAGAGCATTTGTGTTGAACAGTAACACTTTATACATGTATGTATATATATATGTGCATGTTTATTTTGGCCTTTCTGGAAGGATGCTTTTACACTTGTTTGCAAAAAGGCAGTTTTTGTTTTCTTTGCTGCAGTTGTTTATTTTGCAGAATAATTGTGCAAGTTTGTGAGCAAATGAAATACAGAGATTCAATCCACTGATTTTGATTTTTATATCATGTCTATGCCAGAATCTCTATTTCATATAACTTATTTATTTTGAATGGAGGTAGTAAATTCACAGCTCTGTTTTGATTTTGCAGTAAATAAACCACTAGGTTCCATATTGAACAAATTTTTATCTCAAATACCAACCATCAGTTTTGTGTGTGTGTGTGTGTGTGTGTGTGTGTGTGTATTGGTACAGCTAATTCCTAATTTTAGTGTTAAACATTTGAAGAAAACCTTTTTTTATAGATGGTTGAAAAGAATGCCACTTAAAAATCAGCATCAGATACTAATTAAAGCAATCTTAAAAGGTTGTCTACTATAAATGAATATAAAATGTAATGTACCTTACAAACTAAGAACTGAAACCTTGTTCAAAGTTTCATTACTCCTGCCCTTGAGTTAATACGTACTTCTTCGAGATAGTACATATTAACCAAATAGCAATTGAAAAGTTTGCTGTAATCTTTTCCCTTTCTGAAAGAACAATTGCAGAAAATACAAACAAAATCTCCCTTAGCCACTTTGACTGCCAAGGCTCCCTTTGCATTTTTTCTGTTAGGTTTCTTGTGGAACTGGCTCCGTGTAATCCAGAATCGTCACTACCCTCTGACATGTTGTCACTTAGGTCACTTACTTCCTTCATGGCTGTGGATGCTGAAAAAGACCCTTTGTAAACAAGAGATTCAGTCTGCTGGATCACAGAGAGGTTGTGGAGGTGGACCTGGCGATTTCATGGGTCGCAGAGGAAACTTTGGAGGTGGTGGAGGTA